TGGGAGGGTGCAGGGTCCCAGAACCTTGGGCCATCCTCTGTTGCCATCCCAGGCCATTAGCAAGGAGCTATAACACAAGTGGAACAGGAGAAACTTGAACCAGTGCTCATATTGGATGCCAGTGCCTCAAGTGGACAATTAGCCTGCTGCTGGCCCAACCTTTACCCTACCTTAGCTTCTTTCTTGTCCTCATATGGTCACAGCAGTAACTCCCATCTATTATCTCAACATTTTGGATTCTTCTTTCTGTCCATTATCTCCTAAAATTCCAGATCCTCCTTTCAAACACCTCAGAATTCATTGATCACTAATGACTTATCATTCCACTGATGTTCTCTTCACTTTTCTCCAGGGATAAGTCAACATTCTCTGTTACGACCTTCACATCACCAATTCTTTCTAATTTTGTTCTAAGCTTCTGAGTCCAAGGACAGCCTGCTTCTGTTTCTAATATTAACAAAGATTTCCCTGGTTACATTAGCAAGATTAATCCAAAAGAAATGTGTAAAGGGCTGGATATAAGGGCTTACTGTACCATCCTTTTTTCTTTTTTCCCCAATCTCTCATGAGAGCCTGATTAAAGGCTTAGGGAATTCAGTTACAATCAATCTAGTCCCAAAAATACCAGTGAAAAGAAACCTGATACATGAGACACAAAATGTTAAACATGAATATGTCAGTTTAAAATAACATTTTCTATAAATGGTTCTACAAACATTTCCTATAAATAAATACTCTATAAATATAAAGGGATAAAATGAAAGGGTGAAAAGTACAAGGAGAAGTAAAAGTTACTATGTAAACAGAAAGAGCTGTAATAACAGCAAATGTGGTTTCTGTCAAGGGGAAGTCCATCATCAAATTAGGGATAAGGGATATGCATATGAAGAATCTGGGGGGTCTACTTGGCCCATGGATAACTTTACTTATCCATGCAGGGTCTTCAAAGTTGTAAAGAATGTCCAATAAAAACAAATAAATCTTATTTTAAAAAACAATTTTTTATTGGCTGGCACATTTTAGTTATTCAATAATGTAAGTTTTGCTTTTAGCTCTGGATTGGATTTTGAATTATGGCTGTAAACTTCAATTTAATGAAAGAACATTTTAGGTTATGGTAACTAATTGATTGAATACCATTTTCTTTCACCTAATAGCTTATTTAAGCTAATTTTGGAAATCTCAGAGTATAATACAATTAAAACTTAAGAAAGACTTTAGAAGGAAATAGCGTTATTAGGTAGATTCTCTTGTAAAGAGGTTTATCACTAGAACTTCTTAGTCTTAGTTGAAAAACTGAAAACCAGGAAATATAAGATACTGAAAAACTGTGGTAACTGTGGTTTGCTTTCTTTTTTTTTACTTGCAGTTATAATTGCATAAAAATTTTAAGATTCACTTATTTTTATTGGAAAGTCAGATATACAGAGAGGAGAAGAGACAGAGAGGAAGATCTTTCACCCAATGATTCATTCCCCAAGTGGCCTCAATGGCCAGAGCTGAGCCAATCCAAAGCCAGGAGCCAGGAACTTCTTCCGGCTCTCCCTCTCAGGTACAGGGTCTCAAAGCTTTGGGCTGTCCTCAACTGCTTTCCCAGGCCACAAGCAGGGAACTGGATAGGAAGTGGGGTTGCTGGATTAGAACCGGCACCCATATGGGATCCCGGCGTGTGCAAGGCTAGGATTTTAGCTGCTAGGTTACTGCACTGGGTCCAAAATGTGCCAAGCAATAGAGTAGTTATAAATACTACCTCAGTTTTTCTTCCAAAGATTCTGTGTTATATTCTTATCTCTATATTAGGGGTGGTGAAACAAATGCCCAGTAGTAAAGTTATATAACCTGCCCTAGCAAAGAAAACCCAGGAAGCAGTAGATGGACTACGAACCCAGTCCATTTGGCTTCAGGTTAGTATGATAGCTAACCACATAAAAATGAATACACTGACATTTTATGGTCATGAGTACTTTATTTTCACAAGGCCTATACAGATGCACACTAAAACCTCAATTATACCTCTCTACAGGAGGCTTGACTGATTGCTAATGGTCTATTTAGTTAAGTAGCTAATTTGTAGCCTATAACAATACAAATTATTCTCATAACTCAGTGGGGTGTGGGGGCAGAGTGTTAACACTTCTCTGATACAAGAATTGTCTAGAATCCCTCATAAATTGCTCACTTCACTTTGCTGAAAGATATCATAGTGCTTTCCTTGGCAGGTTTCTCTGCTTACTTATAGTACCATTCTTAACTGTACTGAAATGAAGTCCTTGGCATCAGTTTATATTTGCTTTGTCCTCCACAGTCACAGAGTATACAGTAAGCCCCCTCTCAAAATGTTTGACAAACCCCGCCTCCCTGAGTAACCTTAAAAAAACCAGGACCCCAAATGAAACAGCTAACAAGGGTGAACTCCACAAACTTACTACCAATTGGTGCACAGAGATACAAACAGAATCATCACTGCTATTCCTGCCCTAATCCCCTAACTTTCCCCCATATGTTTCTTTTTCTAACCTTAAAGCCAGGTTCTTTAACCAGCCTCTTCTATAGCAGCTTTAAAATCCCACTCTTCCTGAGCTGTTTCATATGTAACAGAATATTCATCATTTCATCATTCTGGTAGTCCTTCCTTAATTAGCTTACATACTGACTTTTGTAAGATATGATCCAACTCAGTGTTGCTTATTGAGTAGGTGCTTAGTCTAGCCTTCAGGGTGACCTTCATTCCACATCGGAGTATTTCAGTTCAATTCTTGATTCCCACTTCATGCTGAGATCTGGAAGGCAGCAGTGACTAAGGTAACTAAGGTAAATGCGCTCCTGCTACCAAGGTGAGAAGACCTTGACTGAGTTCCTAATGGGCGCTGTGGGCAATGAACTAGTGGACAGGAGCTCTGTTTCTTAAAGTAGTAAATGCATTTGAAAGAAATTTTCTACTCATAGATGAGCTTGTCTCTTTATTCCTAACTCTGGGCTACTGCTTACAACTCAGTTGTTAGACCTTCGTTTTCCCTTTTCGTAAACTTCTCTAATATAAATAGTTTTTCTCTTAACTTCTATAGTACATGATAGTCATTTCTATTTGTAACTTAATCAGAAGATGTCAGCTCTCCTACTAAAAGTCCTTGAACTGTCTTCTAATTCCTAACCTACGAAGTCTCTCGTAATTTGGCATCTACTTGCCTCTGTCTCTTTACTTACACAACTCATTTCTGTCTCCTATTTTTCCTCTTCCAGCACATCAAGATCTTTCCATCCTTAGACAGTTCTTGCTTGTTTTTTTCTGTTGGAGACATTCATAAAAATCTTAGCAAAGTTTAAACTTTGTACTTATCGTGGCTCAGGCCAAGGGTAGCCACCTCAAGAGACTTGTCCTAATTGTCCTATCCTAAGAAACTTTGCACTTCCTCTCATTATACCTGTTTCCCTCCCTGTATACACAGACTGAAAAAACAGTCAAACAAACCTGTTTACTACTTTTCTTCCCTCTGTAAAATATGAGTTTTTAAGTATGGGTTTTAAGATATTAACTATATGTGAACATATATTAACAATAAATTAACTATATGTGAACAATACGAACCAGTATATAGAATGGTGCTTGGTACAGAATATAAAACCAGTGACTGCTAAATTTATGAGTTCTATTTCAGCATTAGGTATGCATTATATCCAAGAAACCCAGAACCCAATAAAATGCCAGGACACATAAAATGCTCAGTAAAGTTTATGCTGCAGGATGATCACTCACTTGGATGATGTCACTATGATGTGACACAATCATATCTCTAAAATCCACTAATGCAGCTTTGACCTTTAGTTCCGTATCTTTGATTGCTGAAAAGTTAGTTTAATAGAAGCCATATCCTTCAAATACAGATATAACTAACTTCTGTGGAATTATTCTTTTTTGTCACAAATTCTTTCCTTTGGATGCATATCTAATTAGTTATTAAGTCATACTGCATTTCCTTCATTTCCTACATATCTTTCCTTTTACATTGTATTTCAATCTCTCATTACTTTATGATCATAATATTGGAATAGCTTTATGTCAATTTATATGACATTAGGCTCTCTGCTCTCAAATTTATTCTTCATACAAATCCCTAGATCAATTCTTCTAGTATCTCCCAACCCCACTGTCAATAATTGACTTTTTCAGCTGGCTAAAGATCCAAGTATCTTTTGAATGGAAAGAATCAAAATAAAAGTATGTCTGGGAAGTAAGATGGATAGACTCATACTTTTGATATAATGAAAAACCAATGCAGTCTGAGTTCTTTGAAGGAATGCAAGAGATCTTACTAATTATATTGTTCACTGAAGTATTCTTCGTATTATTCTTCTGTTTGGTACTTATTCACAGAGATTAGTTAGTATATTATTTTAATCAACTCTTTCCACAATTGTATTTTTTACATGTACTTAACCCCTCACTTATTACATGAACTAGATAGTATTAAAGAGAGAAAAACTGGAATAGGTGAAATGCTTAGTACTTTGTTCAAGTATACACATTATATAGTGAGAGTATCTCAATCAACAAAACAAACAATAATGGTCTGACCCAGGATGCTGGCTACAAAAACAGAAAAAGATAAATTCAAAACGCATTTTAGAAAATAGGATCTAAAGCAGTATTCACCAAAACATTTTTACAGTCTTTTGCTTTCATTTATACATATACAGAAGGCTGGGAGACAGAAATTTGAAATAGAGTTTTGGTAAGAATTGGAAGAATAACATTAATGGGTTGACTGTGTATTATTAAGATAGAAAAAAAAAACACATTTCATTGATCTTCTATTATAAACCACATTTTCAAGATACTGTACAAATGCAGAAATCTGATATTCACCTGTATCTTAAGGCACAGTTATATGTAATTCATCAGGAAAAAAAAATGAAAGATGCTTAGGGATAAAACTCCTTAAAATGTTGTCAGAAATAAATTCAAAATAAATTACAATGAAAACTAAAGAAAAAGTTCTTACCCTGTCTAGCTCCAGTGTAAACTTCTGGTCCCATGACTGATTGGAAATGGGTTTCCAGCTAGTTTGACCAACCACAGTATTATCTAGCTTCAAAACAGCACACACATCATCTGTAATTGAAATGTATTAATTTGTTTAAAAACTTTAACAGCAACAAAGGTATTAGGACCCTCCAAACATAAGATTTTCATTATAAATACTGAGGTGTTTACATGTTACATGATTGCTTTTATACATATCCGCTATCCTACTCTGCTCAAAAACCATCCTTTGGGTTTGATTTTAAAAACACAACTATTAAAAAAAAATACAACTATTTTATGGCTGGTTTATGTTAGAATATGATTGAAAGCAGTAACAGATGGCTACACTGTACGTATGCATATTAATATTAATCATCCAGTTTCTTTCGATCTTACATTTGGTATTTATAAAGCCTGTTATCTTACATTTTTTAAATTTCCATGTCCTTAAAATCTCTCTGTATTCAGGAAAGCATAGAGAAGCTCACTTTTGTATTCTATTATATTTTTTTATCTTGAGCTTCTACCCTTTGCACACCAATTACACATTCACATATAATTATACTTCAGATTCTCCCGAAGTGCTTTTAAATCTCTTACATTTTACTCTCCCCAGCCTACAGTTACCAAAATTTCAATTGGAGTTTGGAAGGGTGCCAAAGCATTAAAGAACCAAGATGTAGGGGGCCAGCACCAAGGCATAGTAGGCTAAGCCGCTGCCTGTAGTTTTTGTCCTGCCTGTTCCACTTTTAATTAAGCTGCCTGCTTATGGCTTGGGAAGCAGCATTAGATGTCACAGAGGAGACCCATCGGAGGCCACATGGGAGACCCACAGAAGGCCCCTGGCTCCTGGCTCTGGATCAGCATAGCCTTTACAGCCATTTGGGGCTGAAAACAGCAGATGGGAAATCTTTCTTTCTATCCTCTAACTCTGCCTTTCAGTTTAAAATAAAATAAATCTTAATGAAAAAAATCAAAATAAAGCCAAATCAAGATGGGATCCTGGAAGACAAGTCTTTGCAGAGCTTCAGTTTAGAACAAAGAGTGCATATGTGCATATGTGTGAACTTCTGCGTGAACATTCATTCATTTCATTCTTCCAAGTAATGTTATTTACCAATTTTCTAGTATATTTTCAATACATTAAAATTTGTTGCCTTAATATTTTCAATAAAGTAACTTTGTTTGCTGTATTGTTTCCTATTATTACATGATTTAATATTAATATTTTCAAAATAATGACCTGAAAGGTGGAGAGAGGGACAGATAGAAAGTGAGTCCCCATCTGCTGACGTATTCCCCCAAATGCCTAAAGTGGTCAGGGCAGCCCAGTCTTTAGTCACTGCTGTCTCTAAAGAGCTGTTTTATCCGGAAGCTCACCGAGAGGCCACAGCCATGGACCAGACCAGGTACTCTGAAACAGACCATGGTTGTTTTTAGCACAAGGCTAAACGCTTGTCCATAAAAGAAATCTATGAGGTCTGTATTGGCCAGCAAGTGAACCAGGACTGTTTGTGTGGAACCTACGGATTGTGCCACTAAAGCACCAATGCCTCAGAAATAATTTTAAGTTACATTATACATAATATAAAGGATCTTGTTCAATGTATACACTTCTCATTGTTTTCCTTCTATATTAACATGTCCCTTGTATAGCACCTTTATGCATTTTATTTTCTAGCATTTTAAAAAGTCTAGTTACTGAACTGGATAAGTCATCGGTTCTCAGGAGATTTCGACTGCTCCCACTTTTACTTTTACTCGTTCTGCTCATGAAAGACGATCTGGTTTCACTTGGACTCCAACCAGGTAGTGCAACCGATGTTGCTTTTGACCGTCCAGGGACGTTCTCTAGGATATCCTGGCAGCCCATAAGACGAACTTCCAAGGTACCTGTTAGTATAAACATTAAATATCAATTCTTGCATTGTTATTTCTGCTGATGTACTAAAATAGAAAATTTCTTCTTCCAAAGAATCTCTGAAGTAACTATCATCTTTCCTGTTTTAATGAGAGAAAGCTACGGAAAAGTCTCAAGAGAACCATGCAAAATATTATAGAAAAGCACAATACCTTCCAAAGTGTTACACAGCATAAAAAAAGTTACATATACTTATTATTTAAGCATTAATTTACTATAATTACATAGATTACAGAATTATATGAGGCTCTATATACCTCATAGAGCCTATGAGGTAGAAATGCAAAGCTAAATAAAATACTTTTTAAAAAAGGATTTATTTATTTTTTATTGAAAAGGCAGATTTACAGAGAGGAGAGACAGAAAAATCTTCCGTTTGCTGGTTCACTCCCCACAAGCCAGGAACAAGGATTTTCTTCTGGGTCTCCCACACTGGTACAGGGTCCCAGGGTGTTGGGCTGGCCTTGACTGCTTTCTGAGGCCACAAGCCAGGAGCTGGATGGGAAGTGGTGCAGCCAGGATATAAACCGGTGCCCACATGGGCTCCCAGCACGTGCAAGGCGAGGACTTTGGCTAGTAGGCTACTGTGCCGGGCCCTAAGTAAAATACTTTTAAATAACATATAGGAATAAGAAACAAGGAGCGCTGATTATGTGAATAATAAGAGTTTTCTAAATTACAAAATTATTATAAAATGAGCTTGAAAGGTGTTTTGCATAAGCAAGTGAGTTTGTTCTACTCGAAATGTAAAATTACATTTTCCCATTTTTACTGTTTGGTCAAATAACTATGTAATTATCTAAGCATAAAATAACTGCAACTTTATTATACAAAAATTACAGGTATCCAAAATGAAAACGAAGAACCTGTGGAGTTGGTCGTCATTGCTTCTATACTTGGTACACAAAAATTAAAACTTCTCGTTATTAAAATTCTAGACTTTGCAGATAACACAGTGTTATGGAGAAATATTTCCTGATAAAAGTTGTTCCATTACATTTAAATAACTAGAATGCAATTTTATTTAAAATTTGTATTTAACAGTAACCAACAGTAGGCATTTCTTATCATAAGGTAATAACAAAAACTTTATAAATTTAAATAACTAAAAAAGCCAGAAAGATATGTGAAAAAACTTTTATAGATACTGAGTATGAAGCACTGAAGCACAACAGCTCCTTGTGAAATGGGAGCAAATGAGATGAACCTGAACACTGCTTCTATTTACTGTCTTTAAGAACATCCAGGACAAGGACATGGAGCAGCAAGGAAGAGCTCAGGTGAAATAAAAAATGAAAAGAAAGGCGAGAGCATAACAAGACCACAGCAGGTAGTTCACAGGGCAGAGAGAAACTAGAAAGAGAGAGCTCTCCAGAGAGAACCCCTTAGGTGTTTAGAGGGTTTCCACACAACATATTCAACAAAGTACTAATCAGCACCTGCTTGTGAAGAAAATACCTGAGGCAGGGGAAGGAGCCACCTGAGAAAGATTAGAGAGAACAGTACTCAGTGCACACAGGCAGGAACAGTGTCTTCCCACCAAGCAGGCCTGAAGATCCATGGGGCTTTGGTGGAAAAACGCAGAAGAACTTTGCCCTATAAATAGAGAATTACTCCTAGAATAAATTATGCTATTAGTAACTATCTCAGAACAAAGCCAAGAATATTTACAGGAATAGAAAATCATCTAGCACAAGGTAAAACAAGGTACAGTTCACAAAGTTAAACATCCAATCCAAGATTAATACACACATACACATATGCCAAATTGCTGCATTACAAATTATCACAAACTTAGAAGCTCAACTAATATTAAATGTTAGAGTCAGCATAAAAGTACATTAAAATGAGTATTATATTTACATACCATCTATTCAGAAGTTAATTTGAAGAGCTAAAAAATTCAAACCAAATTTCTGGAGATAAACAATTACTGAGATAAAAAACACATTTGATGGAAATGGTAACAGTTTAAACGCAAAAAATGAAAAAGTTAATGAAATTGAAAAAATTAGAATTAGAACAGTTTATATGTGAATTGCTTAATATTGAGTTGCAGCTGTAACTGAAGCTTCTGATGAAGAGCAGAGAAAGTAAAGGACAAAATGTATTTGAATAATAGCTCAAAATTCTTAAAAATTTGATAAAAACAATAAACTCATGGGGCACGGCACGGTTGCCTACTGGCTAAAGTCCTCGCCGTGCATGTACCAGGATCCTATATGGGTGCTGTTTCATGTCCGGTTGCTCAATTTCCCATCTAGCTCCCTGCTTTTGGCCTTGGAAAGCAAGGTCAAGGACAGCCCAAAGCCTTGGGATCCTGCATCGTTGTGGAAGATCCATAAGAAGCTCCTTGGCTCCTGGCTTCGGATTGGCTCAGCTTTGTTCATTGTGGACACTTGGGGAGTGAATCAGTGGATGGAAGATCTTTCTCTCTTTGCTTCTCTGTATAAATCTGAGCCCCCCACCCCCTGCCGGCCAAAGAAACAAACAAACCTAGGAAATATTCAAGAAGTTGAGTGATTACCAAACAGAAATAAACCACATCAAAGTCTCATTTCTCGGGCCCGGCGTGGTGGCGCAAGTGGTTAAAGGTCCTCGCCTTGCACGCCCGGGATCCCATATGGGCGCCGGTTCTAATCCCGGCAGCCCCGCTTCCCTTCCAGCTCCCTGCCTGTGGCCTGGGAAAGCAGTCGAGGACAGCCCAAAGCTTTGGGAACCTGCACCCGCGTGGGAGACCCAGAAGAGGCTCCTGGCTTCGGATCGGCATAGCATCGACCCGTTGCGCTCACTTGGGGAGTGAATCATCGGACGGAAGATCTTCCTCTCTGTCTCTCCTCTCTGTATATCCGCCTTTCCAATAAAAAAAAAATAATAATAAAAATAAATCTTTAAAAAAAAAAAGTCTCATTTCTCAAAATAAATGATAAATAGAAAATGCTAAAAGCAGCAAGAAAAAAAAAAGTCACACCTAGAGGAGCAAAAATTAGGAAGGATGGCATCAGATTTCACACTGTAAACTGTGAAAGCAAGATTATACGCTTTAGATCACTTCTTTGTTCTTTGCTCTTTCCCTCTCTCTCCTTCCGGCCTCCCTTCCCCACCTTCCCCTTTCCCTGCCCCTATGGAATAAATCTCCTAAGATTAAAAAAAAAAAAAAAAAGATTATACGCTTTAAATGTGTACTTAGTGCGTTTCACTAAACCTCAATGAAACTGCTCAAAACACTGGATATGATGCTAGGCTCAACCATGTACATTCACTGCAAAAAAATCATTATACTTATAATGATTATCCTTGAAATGGATGATTCCTATGCTATGTAAATTATGCCTCAACAAAGCTGTTAAAAGTAACAAAGCTTCAATATTAACACAATGTTTCCTTAGGTTGTGGAACTCTCACTGCAAAGCAACACAGATTAAGAACAGTACATGGTATTTCCATTTAAGTTCAAAAGAAACAACATGTTATGCTTGGGCTTTATTTGCTTTTGTGTTAAAATGGCAAACTCGGCTTGTTTCAACTGTAAAAGCTCAGTGTGAAAGTCATCCTGCGGAAAGTGAAAACATCTGGCCACCACCTTTTAATCATGGTAGCTTATTAAATATCTTAGTAACATCAATATATCAGGACATGGCAATGCTTAACACCTGCTTTCAATTAAAAAATCTGGAGGGAGGTAAGACCTTTATTAAAAATCTAGAAATTTTTTTCTTTCATGAGGTAACAAAATCGAAACAGCATACAATCATATTAGAAATAACTTCCAACTACATTCCTATAACCTATAAAATGAAATTTTTAAAACAAGATTATCCAACAGGCAAATGCTCATGTTCATGTTCATACACAGTAGTGGTTAGAACAAGTAAATGTTTCTAATTTCTCTCAATTTTCTGAAAACTTTTATATCTATTTACTAAGTATGTTATTTGGGTGCAACTTAATAACATTTCAATTCTGAGGAAATTTCCTATTGCAAAAACTATCAAATTTCTGAAAATACGGAGCAAAAGCATTTAATTTCACCTTCCATCAAAACAGTAACCAATCTGCAAATTTCAGCATTACATTCAATTATACCACAGGCTGTTATTACCTGTCTATGTAGATTTTTCATTATGTCTAGTCCTGTATTTATTTTTAAATTTCATTTTTAATATATTTTTAACAGAGTTGAGTGGAATGTACACCCATGTGATTCTGATGAGGGTGGGGGAATTAGGAATGGCGGAAGAGAGGTGCTTTTTTCCCTCCTGTGTCCCCAGGGGAGGAGGGGCACTCATTGCTTTCAAACTGCAGCAGCACTTACGGCTGTGGGACAGTCATTTGATGCTTTAGAAACCCCAATGTGGGGAAGAGTGTTCTGAAGGTGTTACTTCAATGGTTTTCATAGTTTTGAGTTACTGGTTTTGTTGCTTAAGGGTTGAGAAAATCTTTCCAAGATCAGTCAGTTGATTAGACCACATTAGTGCATCCACAGACTTGAGAACATGCTGCAAAGCTCGCCAGAACTTTCTGACCTGTTTTACTTTCCATCCTCTGAAGAGGCAGTTGATATCCTCTCCTGGCCTAGATGAGCTGCCTGTCATGTCCCTTGTGTGCATCTGGACATGCTGTCCACTACACAGGCACCAGCAAAGAAGGAGGCCCATACACTCCAAAGTCGGACTACACATCCTGTGATTTTCCTTTGGCCAGTCTGAGTAAAGTGGTCCGTCACGGAGTTTTCAAAGAAACCTCATGTATGGAAACCTCAGGCTTGACTCTTAGTGCGCCAGACAGTACAGGGTCAGGTTTGGTCAGTCACCTGCACCATCCAACACACACATACCAGAGGAAGCAGGCTGCAGCTCAACCTGGGCTAGTCAGTTCCCAGCCTTGGCTGTCACAGTCAAGGGCCCAGGCAGCCTGCCACAACTCTAGCCTACATGCACACCTGTAGGTGCAGTGACCTACTCGGGGAAAC